ATTTCTTGTTGATCAAGGGCTTCAGAACTTGTTTAAATACACCTTGAATCATTTTTGAACGTTGGGGATGATTAGTGAAGATCATATAGCCGTTTTAGTGTGAAAATAATTAATAAAACAGTTTAGAGCGTGGGAGAATCGGTACCCCCTATGGGGAATCGGTTCCCTAAGTGTAAAATTCAAATATTTCGATCGTTGAACAGGGGGGAATCGGTACCCCCTATGGGGGAATCGGTTCCCTCCGAGCATTCTGGAAATCTCGGAGCCAAACCATTCAGGGGGGAATCGGTTCCCTCTGAGCAATCTGGAATTTTTGACTTTGAAATGGTTCGAAATACTTTGAAAGATTATTTTGAAATTGTTTTAAGATTAAAACTTAATTTTACACTTAAGTAAGGATTAAAAATGATTTTTGAAATATTTGGAGTAATGTTTTGATATTCGAATAATTATATCGAATATACTTAGAAAATCATTTTGGAAAATCTTAAAATTCATTTAACTTAATTTGTTATATCGAAATATCAAAAAGTTTTCAACAAAAGTTTCCAGAGTTCTCTTCATCATTCTCCTTTCTCTCCATCATGAACCAAGGTAGCAAAGGTGAGTTTTCTGGTTAGTGGTTTATTTGTTGATTTTAAGTGTGAGTTTTGATCCTTAGGTGATACTTAAGCTTAAGGAAAGCTTAAGTTTTCTTATAATCAAAAGATGAAGAAGTTATGAAAGATTAAAGTGAATGGGTTTCAAAGTGAATTTCTGAAAAAGAGTTAATAAAGGAACTTTGAGATGGAATTTGACTTGTCATCAACTTAATTAAAAGATATGAAGTGTTAGAAGTGGATTTAGAACAAGTACAAATTTTGGTATGATTATTGATTTCTATTTGGAGAAAGGAATTTTGAAGTTAAGGAGGTATTGAATGAGTAGAAATTGATTTAAGTATATGGTCTTGAGTTAATAATATAAAAGGGAATTAAACATGAAGTATTGAAGCTGAAAAGATTGAATTTTCGTGATTTAACAGTGATTTCTGGGCAAAGTGTATCGGTACACATTCAATAGGTACCGATACACCCTTAAATAAAAAACATCGAATGCAATAAGTGTATCGATACACAGGTGACACGAAAAATTTCAAATGTAATTTGGGTACCGATACATCCGTAGTGTACCGATACATCCGTAGTGTACCGATACACTCCTTAAGGAAAAAATGAATTATGGTTTATTAAATTAACTTAAGTTATTAGTATCGAATTATAAGGTTTAGGCTTCTTCTAATTGTCTTAAAAATTATATTTATGTAGATATCGAGCTTAAGCAAGTTCCGAACAATTGAAGAGTAGGATTGATCGGGGAAAAGACAAAGAGATATAGGTGAGTGCATATGCATAGCATGATTATAGTGGTATATTCCGCTTTAGACTTTGATAAGTCTAGAGTCAATACAATAATACATGATTACATTCCATGCTATAATACATGGCATGAGTTTATATTTCATGCATTATGTGATGATGATTATAAATAAATATGCATGAAAAGTTACTTGAGCTATGTGATTAAGGTAAGAAATTACATGTCTATGAGATATACTATGTGAATTGTGATAAGCCCATGTTATGTCGATGAGAACTATATGTATAGTTGGCATGCCAAGAGTAGAGGGTCTACGCGATCCTTCAGGACATATATGTATTCTTTGGAACATGTGTGAGGTCTTTTGAGACATATATTGATCCTTGGCATATGTATATGATTCTTAAGAAATTTCTATGAGGTCCTTATGGACATCTTATATGGCACTTCGGTGCATTTCTACGTGGTCCTTCGGGACAAATTTTACGTGCCCTAGTGGGAATTTATATGAGTTGTGGTGACAACATAGTGCACAACCTCACAGTACTAAGATACATTGGGTTCTTAGTATTATATCATGGGCTATTGAACTTATTAATGTGAATTCATGATGGATAACTTAATAAGATCCTGGGTAAGATACATGGTTATGTGACTTGCATGGATTGAATATATGATTTCATGATATTGCATATCTTTGTGACATTTTCATTATATTTTATTGTTATTATTATTATGTCTCACTAAGTCGATGACTTAGCATGTAAGTATTTCACACGTAAGATCCAAGAAGGTAGACAAGCAAAGTTAGGTAGACAAGCAAAGTTAGGTAGCTGGGACAACATTACTCCTGCAACTATCAAATTAAAAGCAACTTAAATAATATGTCATTTTGTTATGTAAATCAGTGTTGGCATGTAATCAAACATTTAAGTCGTGTATGCTGTGAATATTTTGGGAATTTTGTATAAACCTATGCATATATATATATATATATATGTGTGTGTTGGGCTGAAATTACTATAGTAGTGTATCGGTACACTGTAGCAGTATCGATACACAATTTACATTCGATGTTTTTGAGCATCGGTGCTGTTCATTATTGTTCACACAGTATCGTATTATTTATATAGTATCAATACTATTCATACAGTACAATACTATTCATAAAAACATTTTTCCTTAAATTTGTTATAACGAAACATAATTTACAATATATTATCGTATTTTCTTAATATAAGTCCAACTGTTCAATTATCTTGTAAGAATATTGTTTTGAAAAGTAAATGTGACATCTCAGACTCGTATTCGAGTTGGGTACGAGTTGGGGGTGTTACAATATTATTTCGGGATGGGTTCGAATTTTATCTCAAAAAGTTGGGTCGGGTGGAGGATGTATCTTTTTTGGGTCAGGTCAAGTGGAGGATGTATAATTTTTGGGTCAGACTGGGTTTATTGGAAATTCAACCTATTTCTAACATAAATTCTACATCTGTCACTGAATATCTATGTATAATATTGCATTCAATGATGGGGGTACTGAGGTGTTAACTTTAAAATTTCAAATTTTTATATAATTTAAATAGATAATTTAATTTCCCAGCTCATAAATTTCTAATCTAATTATATTGATTATTTTTTTACTTCTAAAATCATCTATATGTAACTCTATATAACTGACTATAAAATCATTATTTTACCTTTTATAATATTTTATGTATATTTTTTTGTAATATATGTACTAAAATCATAAGTGTACAAATATATTCTTCAAGAAAAGATATACGTATATATTATATACTTATATAATGCATATATTACGGATATATCATCTAAAATTATATTCATTAAACAATCTATTTGTTATGTCCAATTATTATTATTTTCAGAAAATATTCATAGAGTAGTCGTGGTTGTTAAGGAAATTTTATTTTTTCTTGATCACTCGGGTTTGAACAACATAGTCTGCACATATGTGAGTTTAAATATATGTATTTTCAAGAAAAAAGAGTATATTTTCTAAATTTGATTAAGTGATGTTTCTTAACGTTGGTTCTATGAATTAATTAAATTGAAATTTAATTGAATTTAAGAATTTTTTTCAACATTATCAAATGATGTGTTTGAAAGAATGTTTAAAGTTTAACATCTTCATTACGTGTCTAAAGTTTTTTTAGATAAATTATATTTTTGTCACTTAACTTCGATTGTGTTTATGTTTCAATTATTCAACTTTTTTTTTTTTAATTTAATCACTTAATTTTTCAAATTCAGTTAAGTTAGTAATAGATTGATGACGTGGCAATGCTTTTGTTTTTGTTTAACCTTAGACATGATATCTAAATTTACCCCCATCATTTTTTTAATCTATTCTTCTTCAACTTAACCTAACCACCACTATATATTTTTCTTCACAATTTCAACTTTAATAATAAGAGAAGGCGTGAGCCTTGAAAACAAACAACAAAAATAATTCTCGTAGATATATCAAAAAATACGAAGTTGATGATGCTGGAATCAAGAAATATGTCATTGGAGAATAGTTAAAATTTCAAATAACCAATAAAAGTCGTTAATGGATCAAATACGTGTCTACGAGAAGTTGGTTTCAGACATCTTAGCCGAAGGAACGAATATGTGTGGAATTCTTCGAGCAAACACCCTTATTAAAAAAATTAATATTAAATAATTACCAGTTTGGTTTTTGAAGAATAATGTTGAGTGAACAGTATATATATATATGCGCTTCTTAGCATTTCTACTCCGACAAAGAGATGTTTACTGAATTAATTGAAAATGAATAGTTCCAACAATTTAGAAGTACTCAATAAGTGAAAGATCTTACTCAAACTTCTAACCGTTGAATAATGCTCTCTATGTACCTATCTCACATAAAAATTTGATTACTGATGAATTACTAAAATGAGAAATGGTTTTGGTGGGTGGGTCTCTTAGCGGAGATATTTTACATATACAAAGATTCAAACTCGTAACCTGTTTAGACGATATTAAACTGTTTACCGCTTGAACTAATCCCATTGGTTGAATTTAAAATTATTGATGGTGTGTTCGTTGGATATGTTCTTAATAGTGTTGTTGTATACACTCTCATATTTGTGCATAATCTTTTTCTTATTTGTGCATATAGAGATGATATTTTCTTTGAAATGTTTCTTTTAACGAAATTAACATAAATGTTGAAACAGACTTTCAAAGTGTTTCAGTTAAACATTTCTCAATATTTTTTCCCAGAGAAACAAAAATTACTAAGAATTTTACATAATATTTATTATTTATTTTCATTATTTAAAATGTAGAATACTCACTTTTCCATTATAAAAAATAAAAAAATAATTATGAATCATATGAAAATTCATTTCAATTTGGGTCTATGACCACAATTTTAGAACTTATATTTCAATTTAGAGAGTATTATCCTTTGATAATCCAGATTCGGACAACATTAACTGTTATCTGCATCTGCACCTGCAACAGATGTGCTTGAATTTATCCAAATTTGTTCATAAATACGTAAAAGAAGAAGCATCCATTTTTATTTTAACCCATTCAATACATGGATATGTAAATGACATCTTAATCGGCACCGAGAACATAAGAACTATAGAATCTGAAAAGAGATGTAAAATAAATTCAAGTCTTTGAGCAAAAATGATGAATTTTGATGTGTGTCGAGTAGCTTATTTATTCTCGACCCAAAAACCCAAGACTCATTAGGTTATCCATCACCACCAATTTGGTCATATGGCAGAACCCAGAAAGTCTCGATAAACAATTATTGCCGAAACAAATCTGAGAAAGCACATTAACAGTTTAACATGAGAGAAACCGAGAGGGCAGCTAGTTGACAACATCAACGACCAGCTTGCGAGATTTGAGAACAGACCACCTCAAGCGGCGGTAGTAGCCAGCTTGGAGCAATGCCAGCGACAATACGAATATCCATTTAAAACCCATCTGCATTAGAATACGGAAATATCAGGAATTTATCTGTTAAAACGAGGTGTCTTTAGATGAAATTATACGCACCAGCTTCCTTTCTTCCATTTCGGGTTCTGCTGCCCATGACAAAAATGTCACAACATCTTTCCCCATCTACACCATATGACAATAATATGCAAATAATTAGGAAGGTTCTTGAAACCATACAAAGAATGACCGAAACAGAAGGTACAGACCAACCTGAGCTTCAGTTGCAGGGGTGCCATCTTCATACTCTACAGCACCATCAATAAGCATTTTTGGCATGGCAATTGCACCCCCAGGGAAGTAAGGGTTATAGTGTAACCCTTCACGAATCTACAAATGAGAAATGAAGACTTTAGATCTTGACAAAGAATCTTCAGTCGTGGCTAACTATTTGCAGCCTGCTATTAACATCAAAGAGTACATTGCATGTGCCACACAAGCATACAAAACTCAACAAAAGAACTACGGTTCATGATTAAATCAATGCTTAAATTCTGAACTATACGCAACAGAAAGACATTGGCCTTGCATTTAAAATGGGCCTTTTTCACAAGACAAGCTCACTGAAAAACGACAGTTAAAATGACCAAATTCGAAGGGCTATACAATTCCATCCTAACTTGAGACCCACATTGTCTCTTCCATTGCATACTCCCAATTGCCAAATATATACATATGTAGTATCTTTGTACAAAGCAATATGGTTCCAACATTAGACGTTTGAACATAGTGAGAAGCAGAATTTACCAAACACCAGCAGGAGGATCACGATAACCAGTTAGAAGCGCAAACACATAATTCTGGCCATTATGACGAGCCTGAAAAAATAACAAAAGTATGGCATCTCAAGGATATATAAAAAATAACTTCCACAGTAATCCAAAATGAAATGCAAGAATTACTTTGGTAATGAGACTTAGATCTGGAGGATAAGCTCCTCCATTTGCAAACCTAGCTGCTTGTTCGTTTGCATATGGCTGAGGGAAGCGGTCACTGAGTTTACCAGGACGAGTAAACATCTCGCCCTCATCATTAGGACCATCAACCACTTCAATCTCAGCTGCCATAGCCTTCGTCTCCTCTTCTGTATATGCAACTCCCACCAAATCACGGTATGATATTAAAGACATAGAGTGGCAGGATGCACATACTTGCTGGTAAACCTGATGACCACGGCGAATCCTGATCATGTGAAATTATTCTCACATTACTACGGTAGCAAAATATTAAAATATTGGCAATGGTTAACCTAACATTACAACTAAAGTGCAAGATTCTAAATCGATTCCCCCATTCACAGAATGGAACTTGAGAGTTTAGACTGACATCAAGGTTTTTCCTTGTGCAAAGAGTAAAAATCAATAAGAGCTAAAATGAAAGAGACCATTCCTTGGATCACAATGGCCTCCAGTTATATATATAGGAATCATCGATGAATCGACGATCGTACTAGGATCACATTTTTTTAAGTAAAGCTTATTCACTTTTGTGCATGTAACCAAAAAGTAAGGACAAACATATAACTCACGAAGAATGGTCGTATGAACTGAGGATGCCTTGGTGAGGCCAAGGATAATTTGGAACTCCTAACCCGTGTTCTGCCTCATCAGCAGAAGCTACTGTTGCGAAACCTAGTAAACCGGTAACACCGGCTCCAAGGAGTGCAACCTTCATACCAGCAGAACCAGCATCTTCATTAGCTTTCCTCGATGTAAGCCATGATAAAGCTTGAACCTGAGCAATAACGCATAACAATATTGATAACGGGTAGAAAATTAAATCCTAAAGAAACATTTCATTACCATTCAAAGATGAAAATGCATCATACGTTGACAAAACTTCAGGAAAGTGGAAAATACATGTATCTAAATATTAATGAAAATCCAGTAAGAACTGTGTAGACTATACAGTCTTCACAAGATCATTCCATAGTAGATAACAAGATAAGCATGATATTACTGAAGGAAAACTATTAAAGAATCTTACGGCAGATTGAGATTGAAATTTCCTCCTTATAACCCGGTGGATTAATCCTCCAGCCATTTCAGTTAATATCCCTGAAAAAAATCAGCTGAACTTTAATAAGCAAGAACATATTTACACATAAAAATCCAAAAAAAGAGAGGAAAAAGACAAAGGACCAAATGAGATTAAACAGAGAATTCGTATTATATATATTCTAACTATTCCCAAAAGGTTAATTTTAGCCAGAAAATAATTATTTCTCTAAAAGGGAGAAAGTTTAGAGTGTTCAAACAACTGGGTACTCATGAAATCAAAGGACAAACGTCAAAACACAAATACCAGTAAGATTTTTCGCATAAGCCCACTCTGAAAAATAACACAAAAAATCCAAAAAGGTGCAGTTGAAGATGAAAAAGGAGGAACAAGGAAACCCTACGGGATCTGGGGCAGATCCAATAACTATGGAGGAGAAATAAATAAACCCAAAGATGAAAAAAGATGTAAGAGAGACGAAGAACTAACTTGGGAAATAGATTGAATGTTGATCTCAGAGAGGTGGAGATCAAAGAACCGGCGGCTGCTTCAGAGATCCAAAGGAAAATAGAGAAAACAGCTGAAAAAAAGGGAGCAAAAAATGGATAAGAGATTGAAGATTGATTTAGTCAGGCAGTAGATTTTGGGCCCATGAAAATCCGCCATGTGAGTGACAGAAGAATAGCCCATTGATGAAATGGCTCAAGAAAAAGGGCCCATTTTTGCAGAGACAACAACCCATTGCAACTACCCACCGAACCTGAAAACGACAGCATGTCCTTTTTTCTGTACTTCGGCCAAATAGGTCTGTAAACGAACGAACGCACACAAATGGAGGTATGTTCATATTTATTCATTTAATAAATAAATGAACATAAACGAATACGAACAATTTTTTTGTTCATGTTCGTTTATTAAGGAATATAACTTGTTCATGTTCGTTCATTTAATAAATAAACGAATATAAACGAACACGAAGATAAACGAACACGAACATAAATGAACACGAACATAAACGTTGGAGACCCTACCTTCCATTGTTCTTTCATGAAAAATAATCGACAATGCAAATCAACCAAATCTACAGTGATAAATAGCGTAAGAGCTGATTAGCAGTGATGAAATGTTTGAAGATATCAAATATTTCGATCGATCTTTTAAAGATATTAAATGATTCACACGACTTTAATTTATCGCTATAACATTTATCTTAGTGGTCCATGATTACATATGAACAATCATTTTCCGCTATTACACTCTTTTTCAGAAATTGCATTGAAACTTTTGTTTTGTTTTTTTTTTGTCAAATTCTATATATTTTTCTCTTTACTGATGCTCATATACTTCTAATTGTTAATCTTCTCATTTATTTTTAGAAAGAAGTATGATGTTTTCTTGAGTTTTAGATGTGAAGATACCCGCAATAACTTTACATATCAACTATTAAGCCAAATAAAACAAAGAAAGAGATGAAAACAGACCTGTAAAACTTCATATTGCACTATAATATAACGAGTTTTGAAGCATTCAGCTATCGTCTCCACTCTCCAGTGAACACTAGGGTTTGGGAAAAAAAAGGGAAAATGAATATAAGTGCAAGGTGCTTCACGGGTTAACATATTGGATTTAATCTCCAAATAAAATTGGGTTAATTATGGAGTTGGTCATCAGAATATCAGATTAATTAATATTTTTAAGATACTTACAAATTGGTCACCAAAATTGATTTAAGAAGATTGGGTTAAACATAAATGAATGAACATAAACGAACATAATCGAACGAACATAACCGAATGTTCACGAACATAAATGAACGAACGCGACCTATGTTCATGTTCGTTCATTTAATTAAACGAACAAAAAATCTTGTTCATGTTCGTTCATTTAATAAATAAACGCACATAAACGAACTTCCCGCCGCACGGTTCATGAACGGTTCGCTAAACGTTCAGTTCATTTACAGGCCTACGACCAAGACATGAAATTAAAAAGGTCCAATTCCGGTTGTAGTCCTTGCACTATATATAAGTTCGAGGATTTAATTTTTTAATACTTTAATTTATTTTTTTAGTATTTATATTTTTAAATTTTAGTCTCAGTTCAAACAATAACAATGCCTAAATCTCATGGTGGTTTGGGTTTATTTGACGTGAACTCTAGGAATCGAGCTTTACTAAATAAATGGATTTGGAGATTTAGTGAGGAAGGTGGTAGTTTATGGAGGAACATAATTGTTGCTAAGTATAAGTATGATCATAATTCGATTCTTCCAAAAGCTGTGAATGGTAGGAATTCGTCATGGGTTTGGCGCTCCATTGTTAATCCGGCAGTGGCTAATGGGGCTGGTTTTATGTCAGAAGTTCGTTGTGTGATGGGTAATGGCTTAAATATTGAGTTCTGGACAGATTACTGGACTGATATGCTTTGTTTAAAAGATTCCTTTCCTAGAGTGTACGAGTTGGCCATTAAAAAAGCTGGTAAAATAAGTGAGTTCGGCCATTGGGTGTCGGGAGTTTGGGAATGGAATATTGAAATTAGAAGACCATTGTTTGATTGGGAAGGGACTTTGTGGGATGATTTTATCCAAGTTTTGAATAGAGCAGTAAGTTTAGTTCAAGGTGTGGACAGATTAAAATGGTTAAGCTCTCATGATGGTACTTATAGTCCAAATTTTTTTGTACTAAACTAGCTTGTGTTGGCAAAAATGAAGATTCAATTTGGAAATTGGTGTGGTATAATTTTATCCCTCCTAGAGTCTCGGCGTTCGTCTGGAAAGCTGTTCATCAACGTTTACCGGTTTCCTCAGAGCTGGAAAAAAGAGGCGTCATCTGTTTAAATCATCCATTGTGTATTTTCTGTAATCGAGAGAAGGAAACAGTTTGCCATGTTTTGTGTCAATGTGATGTGGTTTGGCAAGTGTGGCAAAGATGGAGTAGTTTGTGGAAGGTTAACCTAGTGTTTCCTAGGAATATTAAAGGATTGTTACATGTATGGTTCAATCAATCCATTAGGAAAAAGGTTAGACCTCTTTGGCAAGTGGGATTTTTTGGTATAATCTGGAAAATATGGTTGTGTAGAAATAAAACAAGGTTCAATGGTTGTTCCTTTTCAGTGGATCATATTTTTAATATGGTCTTGCTGCAGATTGGTATATGGGCAAATTATCAATGGCCATCGCTAATCCCAGTCGCTCAAGATTTTGTTCGCAGTCCTGAATCTTTTATTATTGGTTACTGGTAGTGAGATTGTGTCGATTATGGAGTATTTGCTGGCTTTGTCTTGCTGTTTTTTATAGTGCTGTTTTGGTTCTGGCGTATGTTTTTTTTGGATAAATAAAATAATATTATTACCCAATGGCAGCAGTATAATGCTACAGTGCAGACATCAAAACAATTACAAAACATTCATCAAAACAACCTGTGTGGAGCATGAACAACCAACATAGTAATATGGTTAGTCAATACCCCATTGAATACAAAGAGAGATATTGACTCTATCTATTCTATTGATTATCCTATCTCTTAGTTGAATTCTAACAAACTCCTTAATAGCTTTAAGAATTTCATCAACTGTTCTTGAGCTTCTTCTAAATAGCCTTTTGTTTCTTTCTTCCCAAAGAGAATAAATAAATGCAATCTATGCAAGCTTCAAAATATTTATAAGGAGGGAGTTACCTGTCCAAGTGGCAGATGCCCAGGATAATAGTTGATCCCAAGACAATGAAGATCTCCGCAAGCCGATTAGTAGTAAGATTTCCTTTCAGACAGAGCTTGCAAGTGGGCATTCTATGAACATGTGATCTCTTGTTTCCTGAGACTCATTACATAAAACACATAAACCATCTGTAACAATACCCATATGTTGTAGTCTGACTTTAGTAGGAAGTCTGTCCAAGATAGCCATCCAAGCGATCATGCTATGTTTAGGAATGTGGAGAGGAAACCATATCAGATTATGCCAGAGAACTTTGTCTCGCTTAACTCTTGTCACTTCCCAAATTGCACGAATTGATGTTGCTCCGGTAGAGTATACAGCGTTGGCTTCTCGCCTAAGTTTGAGTAATTTCCTGAAGCTCCAGCTGGTGTTTGTACCACTATCGATGAGCGAGAAGTCTTTATCGTTGAGGACATAGTTATTTATCCAAGCAACCCACAATGAGCCTTCACCTGCTAGGATACTTCGAATTAGCTGGATCATACATGCCTTATTCCACGTTTTTAAGTCCTTTAACCCAAGCCCGCCTTCATGTTTTGGTTTGCATATCGTTTCCCAACTTACTCTAGCTCCGGTAGCCGCTTTATCAGAACCTTTCCAAAAAAATCGAGAACAGAGTTGCTCAATCTTCTTAATGATAGATTGAGGAAGAAAAAGTTGTCTGCACCAGTAGTTAGCAACACTGAACAAGACCGCTCTTATAAGTTCGAGTCTTCCTGCATAAGACAAGAGTTTACCTGACCAGTGGTAAAGCCTGGATTTGATATTGTCAATGAGAACAACACAGTCCTTTTCAGAGAGTTTCCTTGTGACCAAAGGGACTCCTAGGTATCTCACAGGAAGGCATCCTTGCTTGAACCCCGTAGCTTTGGTGATGAACTCCAGGATATTAGTAGAGATACCAGAAGCATAGAATTCGCATTTGGCCGCATTAAGCTTGAGGCCAGACATTTCATAGAATTTGTCTAAAACAGTATTGACTCCTACAACTGATTCCAAATTTCCTTTGCAAAAGATTAGAAGATCATCCGCAAACATTAAGTGAGTGAGCCCTATCTTCTTACATTTAGGGTGGAAGCCAAACATGCCTCTCGCAGCAGCCAAGTTTATGGAATCTGTTATGTTAGCTTATTGGGTGGTTCTGTTTTCTAATGTATAAAGCTACTGACAGGAAGATTTGATAGCAATAGTGTTACTTGGCAGGTTTAGAACTACGCTGTTGTTTGTTCTTGGATTCCAGGCACTTGTTAGACGTAGGGTGGGTGTTTTTGTTCAGGATGTGTTTTTCATTTTGTGTACTCTATTTCTCGTTACTTCTCATTACTTACTACCTCAAGGTACACTCTTTTTCCTCTATTTAGGTTTAGGGAGGTTTTTTAATGAGATCCCTGAGGTGGTCTACTTTGTAAATTATAATACAAAGTACCTTATTTCAAAAAAAAAAAAAAATTCAAAATCTTTTGAACCAATTATGAATTGATTGAATCATAAGGAAAAGGTGATTTAAACTTTTTTTATTTTTATGAAAAAATCGTATACAAATTTGACATTTAACCATCGGAATGTAGAATACAATTCGTATATTCAATAGAACTTTTATCTTCAAATTGGGCATAAATTTTGGCTTACTCGTGAGATTAAATCTTTCAAAAACAATTAAAGTAAACTAACTCCATTGAAGTATTTAAATGATGTCAATCAAGCCATCTATTTGAACAATAAGCTGCTTGCTACCTAAGAGAAACAACTCGCACCTGTGAAGAGGTCTCGCAGCTATATGACCATCATTCAAAGACAACGTATATTGAATGGTAGGCAATGAGGAAGAGGTGGAGTTCTGGAACGATGATTGGCTCAAGGGTCTCAGACCCCTGCGAAATCACTATACCCAATCGAACACAATTGAACGATTCAGCAAAAATGAGAGATTTTGTTATTAAGGAAGGACATTGGAACTGGGAAAACCTCACCGGTCGTCTCCCAGAAAAAGCCATTCACACCTTAATGGCTTTCCCACCCTCTATTGCAAATAACCTGGCTGACAATACAGGATGGAAAGCAACTGCAAACCGATGCTTCTCGCTCAGTTCGGCCTACAAATGCCTAGAAAATCCGAGCGAGAAAAATACAGACAGGTTATGGAAGACCATCTCAAACCACCCAAGTCTCCTAGGATCAAATCGTTTCTCTGGTTAACTTGTAGAAACCGTCTATTAATGAATGCAGAAAGATTACGAAGACATATGGCAACGGAGGCCCATTGTGTTACGTACGGAGATTCCATCGAAGATGCAAACCATATTCTTCGAGAATGCCCGACAGCTCTCATGCTATGGAAGCAGTTGATAAGACCAAATGATGACCTGGAAGAATTCCTCAATGAAGACATCCACATAGAGATTGCCAAAAACTTGGAACGCAATGACTCCCCCGCAGCAAGTATAACGAGCTGGAACGTCCTTTTTAGTGCTGCTTTATGGTCACTATCGGACAAAAGAAATAAAATTATTTTTGACCCTGAAATGATTGAAAGGGAATCGATTTTGGACAAAGGGAAGAGAATTGACATGGACATTGCTAACTCGAAGGAGACCACATTAATCAAAGCAAACTGGATACGAGATAACCCGACCAGCTGGAAACCGCCGGAAGCTCACTGGTGCAAGGTAAATACCGATGGGGCAAGGAAAACCGATACGGGAGAAGCTGCATGTGGAGGGGTTGCCCACAACAACACAGGCGGGGATGGCTTTGGGGCTTTGCCAAGAAAATAAGATATTGTTATACTCTCAAACAGGAACTTTGAGGCATCCCTGAAGGACTTCAAATAGTCCGGAACGCATGAATAAGACGAGTGGTTATGGAAGCTGACAATATCGAAGTAGTGAACCTGTTGAAAGAAGGATCCATTGGAGGAAGGAACCTAACCCTACTGCAACACAGATAGATCCCTAATAAAGGATTGGATAGTAAACTTCAGTTATATTCCAAGTGACGCAAACAAAGCTGCTGATAGAGTGGCAAAGCAAGCATGGACTCTCCAAAATGACACACAGGACTTCGCCCAATCCCAGGAGCGGTGGGAGAAATAGTCGAGTATGAGAAGGAGACTACCAGATAGATAGTGACTACCAGTTACCTTCATACCTTTTTTGCAATAAAAAAAAATTAAGCCACATGTCCTTAATGTTTGATGCGAACAAACGTGGAAGTTAACAAAATTGATATAATTATACGGATAAACTCCAGGATTTATCACTTTTGTTTAAGTTTCATACATTTTTCTTTACTGGATTTAAAAAACATAATATCTAATCACTTTTATTTTTATTTAATCAAGATGTGATAACTTACTTGATCGACTTTTAAATGCTTAATCATTGAAATATTGGTTGTCGTCAGTGAGGAAATTAAACAAAAGTGATAATGTCACTACAGCAAAACTGTACATTTGCGGCGTTTTTTTACATACAGTGGCGTTTTTAAGCGCTGCAAAAGACACCTGCGGCGCTATGACAAACGCCGCAAAAAGCGCCACTGAAAATAGCGTCGCTAAAGTTCGCGGCGTTTGGTAACAAAAAACGCCGCAATAGGTAACGATATATAGCGGCGTTTGTCTAATAAACGCCGCAATAGGTGTTGATATTTAGCGGCGTTTTTTCAACAAACGCCGCAATAGGTGTTGAGATTTAGTGGAGTTTTTCCCACAAACGCCGCAATAGGTGTTGAGATTTAGCGGCGTTTTTCCCACAAACGCCGCAATAGGTCTTGAGATTTAGCGGCGTTTTTCCCACAAACATCGCAAAAGATCTGGTATATAGTGGCGTTTTCTACTCTTTTGCAAATTAAAACTAATTTGTCAAATGTTGTTTTCTACTCTTTTATTACCCAAATTTAACCTGTAGCATTTTCCAATAAAACTTGACATCCATAACAACAAACTTAAAATCCATAACAAGAAAAATGAAATCCATAATAATAAATCAAAGTTTACATTAACGTAAAATATAATGTAGTTCAACATTATTAACTATAATAAACAATAATATCTAAGATATTTTGCTTCTAATCTTACACATTCTTCAAAATTCTTCGTCACAATGAGGCGCTTAAATTCAAAGAGATAAATCCAGTTTATATGGGAAAACAATGATGCAGAGCTAGTATCGTCCTGTCATTTCTTGCACAGATATTTTGCTTCATGAGGTCTTACTCCAATTGGCATGCCACTTGAAAAGGCCCTATCCATGGCATTGCATAACTTGGAACTAGATCTTACCAAGTTCAAGGATTGGTGGAGCAAATTTCAAAGCTTGAAATGCCACCTGATATTAAATAATGAAAAATTAGAATCTTGAGAGCAAACATAACTTGGTAAAGAAGAGGGCAAAGTGACCCAAATTCAGTAAGATTTTCTAATTGTTGATGTGCCATTGGTCCATTGCGTTAATTTACTTTATGCAAATAAAATATAGGAACTTGACTATACATTCAACCTTCCGTTTACAAAATGACTTTCAGAGTATTGCTCCTGACCGTTTCAGAAAGATTCCAAGTCATTGCCAGAGTCGTCTAACCGACGCTCATAAAATGAACTTGAAATACCTTCTTTACAATAGATCCCTATATTAGTAAAAAGATGGCAGACACCCTACATTACATGTCAAGGTTAGTGCCATAAATATAATCTATGCTTAAACAAAAGCCCATCATACTCTACATTCAACCTTCCGTTTACACCTAAAGTGAATCAAAATTAACTGGAAAAAAATTATAGATACTTAAAAGAAAAGCACAAAACAAGGGCTTCTAACATTTAAGTATAACATAAGTGAGGAATGTATCTAAATTCCACTTGAACATCATCAGTAGAATGTTAATTAAATATATTTGAAGAATATTTCCATCAACTATATATTCTCTACCTTTAGAAAGAATATTCTGTATTGCTTCAAAAATGGACCACAAGCAATACAGAATTTATAACCAATAAATATTAATCATCCATTAAGATGAATAACAACTATGAAATAAGAAGGCATCAGTGCTACAGCAATTTATACCTCCAACAAAAACTGCATCCCTCCATCCACAAAGTAATAAGGTGAGTTTGTTAGCAAGAAAATTTTCTTCCCCTTCTCCTTTAACGTCCTAAGAAAGTGTAATAATTGGCCCTGAAACATAAACCAAAATTAGTATTCCCAGGAGGAAAGAACATATTTCACAGAGGACGGGCCAAGCTTCACAGAAATCTTTCTTTGATACTAAACGTCACTAAAAAATAACTAAAACATAAATAGTTAGTACTTACATTTTTTACTAGATATCGATGAGGATCAGAAAGAATTCCTCTATGCATCAAACCACTTCGATGAACATGCTGAATTGCACGATTGACATCTTCATATACATAGCAGGCATCAAATTCTAGTTTAGCATCAACGAAATATTGCACAATATCGGCAATGAGACATGCCTAAAAGATTATGGAAGGGAAAAAAATCAGGAACTTAAAAATAGAACAAAACATGTGCTTATCATAAAGGCAAATAGTCCAAGAAAAGGCAAAAAAACTTACAAAACCTGATAATACAATTTGGCAAGCCTGAAATATGTACTATCCATATCAATGTCCACAAGTGGATTTTCAAATTGACAGGATATTTGACATTATTAGATATATTGAAAGTGAACTTGTTATCTTATTTCATCAATAACATTGGAATGAAGAAGAAGAAAAAGGCAGCAGCAGCAATGACTAAAAGAAGTACTAAGATTACAGTCAATCAAAAGGTATTATGAGACATTAGCATGCATGTGTAAGTATTTGTTGGAATCCCCTAGCCCAAATATCACCATCTGATTATAATGCTCTGACAAACACTCATAGATGCGTCTTACAAATGTGAAAGCCTACATATGTTATTATTTAGACATACATGTACAATATTGTTATACATACAAACAATGCAATTACTGAAACCAACCTCACTAAAGCAGAAAAAGTCCATCAAGCCCACAAGACGGCGTGCCTGGTC